ATGTGGTGCTGGGGGATTGAACCGCGGTCCCTGTGCTTTGCTAAGCTTGTTCTAAGTAGGTGCTTTAGACCACTGAGCCATCTCACCAGCCCATACATTTTTTTAAAATTATTGTTATTTCTTTTTTTTAATTTTGAAGACAGGGCCTCATCAAGTTACTAAGCTGCTAGGCTGGGGCTCCCACTTGCCATTCTCCAGCCTCAGCCTCCCAGAGTGCTGGGACTCTTCTTTTCTTTTCTTTTCTTTTCTTTTCCTTTCTTTCTTTCTTTCTTTCTTTCTTTTTTTCTGTGGTAGGAGAGATGGAACCCAGGGCCTTTGTACTGAGCTATATTCCAGGCACACCCTTCATTTTCATTTTGAGACAGGTGTTTGCTAAACTGCCTAGTTTAGCTGGGTGTGGTGTGGCACACCCATAATCCCTGTGCTTGGGAGGCTGAGGCAGGAGGATGTCTGTGAGTTCGAAGCTAGCATGGGCTCCATAAGCAAGCTTGCACTATATAGTGAGATCTCATCTCAAAACATACATACAAACGAACCCACCAAAAAGAGTAAATTGTTCAGGCTGTGCTGGACTCCTGAGCCTCCTGAGTACTGGGACTATTGGTGCCTGGCAGGGGGCCTTTCTTAGTGCTGCCTTCTGCTTTCCTTTGATTTCCTGCACATCTGGTTGCCTGCTAAGGACAAAGCTGTGTGTCCACTTTGGTGTGGACTAAACCTCACATCGTGACGCACGTTGTCTCTGTGCTGAGGAAGCTTGAGGGAGGGCATCACAAGTTTGAGCATAGCCAGAGTTAATTAGAAAGTTAGCAAGACTGCTTCAAAATAAAAATAAGGCTGGGGCATAGCTCTGTGCGAAAGCCCTGGGTGCACACGCACACACAGTGAAAAAGAATAGATAACTGCAAGGAAGATTAACCTCCAAAAAATTCCACACACTAGTAAAATATGTGGGAGCGAGTGATGGTGGTAGACACTTGTAACCCCTGTTCCTCAGGAGGCTAAGGCATAACAGGGTGCTGGAGGCCAGCCTGAGCAACCTGGGGATCCCCTGTCTCAAAATAAAATAAAGTGGGGGCCGGGGAGATGGCTTAGTGGAATAAGCGCTTCCCTGGCAAGCGCAAGGGCCTCAGTTCAATCCCCAGTTCTGCCAAAAAATAAAATAAGATAAATTAATAACTCGAATTAGGATCTCACTACTGTGTAGTTCAGACTGGTCTCTCTCTCTCTCTTTTTTTTTTTTTTTGGCAGAACCAGGGATTGAACTCAGGCCCTTGTGCTTGCCAGGGAAGCACTATATTCTACTGAGCCATCTCCCCAGCCCTCAGACTGGTCTCAAACTCAAAGCAACCTTCTTGCCTCAGCTTCCTGAGTGCTGGGATTACAGGCGTGTCCCATCAAAAAAAGAACTGGGGTGTGGCCCTGGGTTCAATCCTTAGTACCACAAAACAAACAAATAAAACCAAGAAACAAACAGAAAGCCCTAGAAGGCAGTGGGTGGGGTTATGTTAGTACCTTTTTTCCAAAAGCGTCGTCATTCCTTAGGACGCTGGGGCGCTAGGGCGCAGGAACCAGCTGGGGGCGGGGAGAACATATCCGAGGCATTTCTTTAGGAATGGGGTGGGGGAGCAGCCTGTCAGTGAGCCCAGCACTCCGGAGGCCAGAGGAGAAGGAACGAGGTGATTTCCGAGATCAGCCTGAGGCACATAGTGAAATCTTGTCTTAAAAACAAACAACCAAACAACAAAAACCAAAATGAGAAGAGCACCAATCTCCTACAATTCTCCAGAGAAAGAAGCTGGGGCGCTTGAAGCCTCCAATTTCTCCTTTTGGAGTAGGGTGGAAAACGTGATCTTTATAAATGGTGGGGACCAGAGCGGGGCGCTGTGGCGCATCCCAGCATTCGGCAGGCTGAGGAAGGAGGATCGCTGTGAGTTTGAGGCCAATCTGGACTACATAGTGAGACTGGAAAAACACAAAAACTCAAAATTAAGAAGGAATTTTGGTTTTTTTTCAGCCTCAGGATGCCTTCAGGGCAGGTCTGGTTTGGCTTGAGGATCTTGGGATCTAAGCATAGCATCCAGAGCCTGACTGCTTTGTTTAAGCAGGCACTTAAACACCTGAGCTAATGGGCAGGTCCCCAAAAACTCAAAATTAAAAACAAGCCAAGCAACAAAGAGATGATGAGAGATGATGCTGGGGTCCCGCGGGAGGACCAGGGCAGTAGCCTCCTGGTAGTGCTCCAGATGGCTGGGGATACTCCCCAGAGTTTGGTGGCCTTTTGAGTTCCCTGGATCGGGAGGGGAGGACCCCAGCGTCCTAAGTGCAAAAACTGTCCTCATCCTGGCGACTGACTGTCCCAGAAAAGCGAGCCCAGCAAGGGTCTCCGGCTTCACTAATGCAGGCGGGATCCCCGACGTCTCCGCGGCCCCTCAAAGAAGGTCGCAACCGCCTCCAAGAGCCAGGCCGGGAACCCTCGCTGCGCTCCTAGCTCGTAGGCGCCTCCCGCTGCCACGCCCGCGGGCCGCGCCGCTCCGGTGCATTGTGGGTGGGGCGCCCCTACAGCGCACTGCGATGCTAGGGGGGAGGGATCCCCCTGCCCAGCGGCCGAGCGACCCAGAGAAACATCCTGCGGGGTTCTAGGGAGCCGGCCACGAACTGACGCGTCCCGCAAGCCCCACCCTCATACCGTTCCCGCCCCGAAGCTATAGTCCCGCCTCCTCAGGCCTCTGACTGGTCCTGAATCCCGCTCCATTCTCCCATTGGTAAGTCTTCTTCTGTCAGTCATTATGTTCCGCCCCTATTTAGGCACGCTCCAGTCACCAGCGCGATCCCGAGGGCCAGCCGGCCGGTACGCTCACTGGCCGACAGGCGCTGTCTGTCACGAGATTGACTCCGCCCCCTGTGGGGTGTGGGTCCTGGGATCCCCAACCGGTCCTCATTGGCCTTCCGCGCCGCCACTCGGTGAGACGCGCCTCAACCCGGAAGTGTGTGAAGCGAAATCTGCCTAGCAACCGGGGAAGCCGGGCTGTGAAGCGGGCAATTTCAGTGTGAGACAGAGCCGCGAGACCGAGTGGTGGCTCCCAGCGCGGCGCGGCAGCTCCTCCCGCCCGGGGTCAGCGCCCGGCGCGCGCACGCGCACCCCTGCCGCCCGCGTCGTCGGTCGGTCGGTCGGTCGTCGGTCGTCGTGTCGCCGCCGCCGTCGCCGTGGGCGCCACCTGAGGGAGCCTTCGCCGTGGGGCGCGACCGGACCCGACCCGACCGTGCTGCGGAGACCGGCCTGGGGCCCTGGGGGACGGCGACAGGGACGTCGCGCAACTTGGTGAGTGAGGGGCCGGCGCCGCGCGGGTGCCCGCTTCCGGTGCCCGGCGCCCGGGGCTTCCGCCGTCCGGCCGCGTCCTGGGTCTCTGTGGGGACCCGCGTGTGAGGGGACGCCAAGGCTGAGGGGACCCTGCCCTGAGAGAGGGGGCCTCTCCTGAGGGGAGCACCTCCTTTCCTGAACACCCCTTCTCCACTCCTCCGTAGGAGCCCCCTTTCTGGCCGTAACCCCATCTCCGAGAGAGACTCCCTGTGTGTCTGGGGGGAGTTTCTTTTTTATTTATTTATTTTTAAATTTATTTTTCTTTTTGCGGGTTTCTAACTTGATTGATTGATTGATGGCGATACTGGGAGTGGAACCCAGGGCCTCTGCACTGAGTCGCAGCCCCCGCCCCCGCCCCCGCCCCCGCCCCCGCCCCTTTTAACTTTTTATTTTGGGAGAGTCTCACTAGGTTGCCCCATGGGGCTCAGACTTGCGACTCTTCTGCCTCAGCCTCCCCTGGGCTGGGATCAGAAGCTTGCGCCAAAGGAGTTCCCCATTTCCGAGACACTCCTGCCTTTCTGAGGGCCATCTCACCTCTCTAAAGGATTTCCTGTTTCTTTACCGAACCCTGTCCCTTTGTGTAGGGGTCCTCTGGCCTTTTGCAGAGATCCTTCTCCACTTCTTCAAGGGGGTTCGTGCTCTGCCGCGAGCACCCTTATTTATTTATTTATTTATTTATTTATTGTTTTGGAATCCAGAGCTCTTGCACTGAGCTACATTCCTTCGTGAAGTTGCCCAGGCTAGGTTGGAACTTGAGATTTTCCTGCCTTAGTCTCCAGAGTAGCTGGAATGCCAGGCTCCCTCACTTTTCCAGGGACCTCTGCCCCCTGGTAAGGGTCCCTTGCATCGAAGGAGGGGGTCCCACTTCTCTTAGGAGATGCTCCTGTTTTCTCAGAGGATGCTTTTGCCTCCAGCTTCTAGGGGAGTCTGACCTCTTGGACATTGGACACATCCTGCCTTTCCACGGGTCTCCCACTGAAGAGATCCCTGCTGTCCTTGTGTGTTTAATTGGTTCCTTCTCCTGAGAATTCACCTTCTGATCTGCAGTCTCCTGTTTTGTGAGAACTTTTTTTTTTTTTTGGTGGGACTGAGGATTGAACTCAGGCCCTTGAATTTGCCAGGGAAGTGCTTAGTCTACTGAGCCATCTCCCCGGCCCCTGTCAGAATTCTTTTTGAAGGAATCTCCTCCCTTTATCCCGTTTGATGGAACCCCTACTTTTTGATAACTGCCTCCACTTCTTTCTGTTTTTTATTTTTTATTGTTTTGCGGAACCGGGGTTTGAACTCAGGCCCCTGCCTCCACTTTCCTGGGGTGGAGGACCCCCATAAAGCTGAGGACTGGGTCCTTCTTTGAGGGGTACCCTCCTCTTTTTTCCAGGCCTGCGTATTGAACTCTGCACTGAGAGGCACATTGTTTTGTTTTTTTCTTTGGTGGAACTGGGTATTGAACTCAGGCCCTTGCACTTGCCAGGGAAGTGCTTATTCCACTGAGCCATCTCCCCGGCCCCCCTGTGTATTGAACTCTGGTCCCTTACACTGATCTTTTTATTTTTTTTGGAACTGGGACTCAAACTCAGGACCTTGTACTTGCCATGCGGGTGCTGTGCCACTGAACTAAGTCCCCAGCCTGTAATCGTCAGCTTTTAAAATAAAATTTGTATCTTTTATTTATTTATTTATTTTGGCAGAACTGGGGCTTGAATTCAGGCCCTTGGGCTTGAATTCAGGACCTTGTGCTTGCCAGGGAAGCGCTTATTCTACTGAGCCATCTCCCTGGCCCTGTATCTTTTATTTTGAGGCAGTGCCTCCTGTTATGTTGCCCACACTAATCTCCAAGATTGGATTTTTCTGCCTCAGCTTTCCCTAGTTCTGTGGTTAAAGATGGGTGCCATCAAACCTGGTTCAAATATTTGTTTCTTTTGAGCCCCCTGTTCAGTTGGTGCTGCAGTTTCCTGAGGTGTTTTTGGTTCTCTAAGGGTGTCCTCATTTGAGGGGATTACTATGGTTGGATCCACACATTTTTGTAATATGCCTCTGCTTTTCCAAGGCATCCCTTTTCTTTTTCTTTTCTTTCTTTTTCTTTTTTTGGTCTTTTTTTTTTTTTTTTGCAGAACCGGGGATTGAACTCAGGCCCTTGCGCTTGCCAGGGAAGCGCTTATTCCACTGAGCAATCTCCCTGGCTCTAGCATTTTTTCTTTCTTTCTTTTTTTGTTCTTTTTGAGACAGGCTTTCGCTTTGCAGTTGAGGGCCTTGAGCTGCTTTGCAGTTGAGGGCCTTGAGCTTACTTTGTAACACAGGCTGGTTGGTCTCAAACTTGCAATGGTCTTCCTGCCTCAGCCTCCCAAGTGCTGGGATGACAGGCATATACCACCATGACCAGTTGGCATCCCTTTTCTTTTCTTTCTTTCTTTTTTTTGTATTTTAAGGACAGGTCTACAGGGTGTCCAGGGTCTCAGTACTAGATCAGACTCAGTAGTGATCTGCCTGTTTATGGCCTCCCAAGAGCTGGGATTACAGGCGTGCCACCATGCCCAGTCTCAATAGGCCCCTGCGCCTGCTGAGCTATTTGGTTGGCCCTGCATCCCTTTTCTTGATGTGAGACATTGTAGATCCTTTCACTCCCCTGAGGGGGTCACCTGCATTTTGAGGATCCCCCCAACCCCCATAGGGGATTCCCCCCTTTTGATGTTTTGAGACAAGTTAGTCCTGAATTCACAATCCTCCTTCCTCAGCCCCCTAGTACAGGGATCACAGGCATGAGTTGCCACATTCAGCTTATTTGTCCTTCTTTGAGACTTCCCTGCCCATTTTCTTTTCTTTCTTTTTTCTTTTTTTTTTTTTTTTTTTTTTTTTTTTTTTTTTTTTTTTTTTTTTTTTTTTTTTGCTGAACTGGGGATTGAATTCAAGTCCTTGTGCTTGCCAGGGAAGCGCATATTCTACTGAGCCATCTCCCTGGCCCTCCCTGCCCATTTTTTGGGGGGGTTGAACTCAGACCCTTGTGCTTGCCAGGGAAGCGCTTATTCTAATGTGCCATCTCCCCGGCCCCAAAGAACTGAGCTAAGGGGCAGGCCCCCTCTGCCCATTTTTTGAGAGAGAAAACTGTTCATTTGTCCTTGGAGCCACCTACCTAAGGGCTGCCCTGTTTATTGAAGGGGCACCCACTTCTATCTGTTGTGCAGGAAGAGACCAAAAGTGTCTCTGCTCTGTCTACCCCCCACCCCCCAAACTGGGGATTGAACTCAGGCCCTTGTGCTTGCCAGGCAAGCACATATTCTACTGGGCTATCTCCCCAGCCCCTGGTCTCTGTCTTTTTTCTGGCCAAAGTGGGGCTTTTCTCTGATCTTGTGTCTTAGCTTCCTGGGCTGGGAGGATTTTGTGTTTGGGGGGAGAAGCTGGAGAACTGTTGACTGTTGGGAAGCAGGAGTGATTGCCACATAGCTAGCACCTGGCTCCTTCCATGCTTGAGCCCAGAGCCAGTGCAGGCCAACATGCAGGCATGAGGGACAGGACAGAGAGCTGGTCTCCCTGTTGACAATCACGATGTTATGGGAACGAGCCACTTCCTGTGCTGGCCCTCTGTCCTTTGTAGTGTAGCCCACCATCCCTTTCCCCTGAAGAGGTGAAGAGTGCTCCTTCCCATCTTCCCTATGCATTTTCTCTCCTGAGCCCTCTGGTTCCCCTTTGATCAACAGAGGTCCCTGATCTGTGGCACTGGCTTGAACGGCAGGGCAAGAAACAGGAACTGGTCATCTGCAATCTGGCAGGAGGGGAGGAGGCATGGGATGGGACTTTGACTACATTTCTGTAAGTTGTGGACACCTGCTGCCTGGCCCCGGGGAAACTTTTTACATGGCTTTTGCAAATCTCTGTGCTTGTAATGGCCCACCCTCGTTTGCAGGTTCACTCTGCTAGCTAATTTTATCTGCTCTGCCAAGGGCAGAACTCCCGGGACCCCAGTAGATGAATGCTGGCATTGAGATGTTGTGGAGGACAGGAATGAGCTCAGTTGGAAACCTGAGTAACTTGTAACCACTTCGTGTACACAGTCTCAGGCGAACACTCTGGGGAGAGGGTCCGCTTAGCGACCCTGCAGGTTCTGACGTGACCTCGCTGGAGTGCGGTTCACTTTCTGGTCTGACTAGGGGCAGGCTCTCTCCTGCTCACCCCTGTCCAGGTCTTGCTTAATTGGAGTCCTTTGTGAACACTCCTGCCGAGGCTATAATTTGAGTTCTAAATCTGTCGGTGGACCATGTGGACACAAGTTCCAACTCGAGCTATTTTCTTCTGTGGAGAAGTGCTTGGAGGATTTCCTGGGCCCTCTGCTCCTGGGATATTCAGGTCCAGGCAGGAGGCTGCTGCAGACCTGTTGCTCCTCACCCGCGGCTCCCAGTTAGCTCTAGGTCTGGCCTCAAGGGCATGGGGCTGTGCACACACATCCTGTAAGGACATGGACAGGGATGCATCTGAGCCTCTTCACTGAAAGGCTGCCTACCTGTGGGGTGTTAGAAAGGGAACCCTGACTTTGAAGTCAGGAGGACTGCATTAGTGTATTTTTTGGTCACTGAGATAAAATACTGAAGGTAGGCTAATTTATAAAGAAAAGAGGTTTATGTGGCTCATTGTGGAGGTGCCTGGGTTCACATCCTTTTTTTGGGGGGTGGTATTACAGATAGAACCCAGGGTCTTTGTGCTAGCTCTATCTCCATCCCATTTTCTTGATTTTTGAGATAGTGTCTCACTGAGTTCTAAATTTCCAAGGCTGGGCTTGAACTTGGGATCCTCCTGCCTCAGGCTCCCAGAGTGTCAGGGTACAGGCATGCACCACCACACCTGGCAGGATCCGCATCTGTGGTGGCCTTGCTAGCAGAGTCCTGAGTGGCCCAGGCTGTCACATGGCAGGAATCAGGCAGTGCAGTCTGGGTCTGTGTGTTGTTTGATCTCCTCTGTTTTTTTTTTTTTTT